GGTCCAGGGAGAAACAGCATGGTAGGAGCGGGAGCAATAACAAATGGTTACCTAAGCAGGAAGTAAAGAAGGGACAGTCAAGAAGGGAAACCAAAGGCTGACAGAGGCATGATTTCAAAGTCAGGCCCTTGGTAAGCTTTATTCTGAGAACAGGAGGGAGCCACTGAGAGTTATTGAGTAAAAGAAGGTCATGATCACTTTGGTGACTAGAGACGAGGAAGGGAGGATTGCTCCACCCCTGACCAGCCCTTAAGCCCTAACTACCAAGTCCCTGAGGCTTGTGGTTCCCATGAAATATCTGTTCTCCTTAAGCTGTCAAGCATAGGGATGGGGGTGGGATAGTCCAAAGATGAAGACTCAAAGGGAGAAGCGGTCCCTGCTTGCTTCTGTCTCCAGCCCACCAACCCCAGGCTGAATGTAATTGTCCTCAATGAAGCCATCATCATCCTCATCTTCACCCACCTCGGGGCAACCTCCCTTCCCTGTTTCAGGCAGTGGGCGGTGCTGGTAGCTGGCACGGTATTTGCGGCAGAGATGGCACTTGGCAGCCAGTGCGATGAGGAGGGAGAGGACCACAGCCCCAAGGATGACCCCTACCAGCATAGGCCATGCCCGGATCCCGCTGCCCAGTCCAAGGGACAAGGTAGATGTCGTGGGGACCTCGGAGGCCCCCACAATGGCTGCAGAGAAAGGGACAGTGTTATGGATGGGGCCCAGGATCGGCTCCCAGGGGAAACTGAGACATGAGCGCAAGGTCCTCCCCACAATCTAAGGGGAACCCAACCCCCTCCTCAGTCTCCCTCCCACTGTCACTCACTTTGGTTTGCCTCACTCATGGAGGGGCCAGAAGACACTGGTGAGCCTCAGCCTCTGCCAGAAGGGCCCTGGCTCTAAGGAGACCCCCTGATGCCAGGCAGCCCTGGGACAGTAGTCCTGGAACATACACACACAGATGGGGGTCAGGGACGGCCACAGGGCACATGTTCCAGGCCACACTCACAGCCACAGGAGGGCACTGCGCAGACTCTGGAGACTGGACAACTGGCCACAACTAGCTATCCACAGGAGCAAAACAAGCTGAGCCATGGACACGGACTGTTTGTAAGGCAACACCAGGAAGTGGCTGGAAACATAACTCAGTGATGGAATTTACTGAGCACAACTTATGATCCCTGTAATGTGAGCATAAACATTATCCCCACTCTGCAGGTGAGGACCCTGCAGCCCAGAAAGGTGAACAAACTCAGCCAAAGTCCCAGGACTTGAACCCAGGTCTCAGATGCCAGGGTCCAGAGCCCAGGCTGCTCCCCTGCTCCGTAAGCTGAGGGTGGGAGGTGGGGCAGAGGCAGTCCTACCTTCCAGAGGATGGACAACAGCAATTCCTTGAAGCTAATGGGCAAAGCGGAGACCACGGTGGAGGATGATGCTGGTCCCCATCCAGGACAGGAGGCCCCAGATACTGCCAGAACAGCCCTGGCCCTCTGCTCCAGAGTCAGGAGTCTTGCGTCCCCAGCCCCACCTCTACCCTCAGCCCTTCAGGCACATTCCTTGTTCATTCACCTCTGCCCCAGGGGGCGGGGAGCTGTTTTGGGGGAGTAGCCAAATGTAAATCAACTGGATCAGGAAATTACCTGGCTGAGACTCTCTAAGGCTGGAAAGGGTCTAGAGGAGTAAGAGCACCTGAAATAAGGGAATATCTGGAGCAAGATCATCTAGGCTCAGGATACCTGGAGAGAGAGCATCTGGGCCAAAGGAATGTCTGGGGTGAGGGGGGCAGCTAGGGGAGGAGCTAGGGGAAGAACATCTGGGTTAGAGAAGTACCTGGGGCTGGAGGTGTCTGAATCAGAAGAGGACCTGGGAGGAGTGTCCAGGAAGAAAAGCACCTAGGAGAGAAGTACCTGGTTCAGGGGAGTACTCGGCCATCTTCTTTAATATCAATACCTTAACCATGCCTTCCCTCCTCAACACCACCGCACTGTCACCAGGCCCCGTGAGTTCCTCCTCTCAGGAGCCCTAGAATGCTGACACCCCTCCTCTGTCCCAGTTCGAGCCACCTTCATCTTGTTCCTCAACTCCTGCAATAACCTCCTAACTGAGATCTCTCCTCACCTCTCATCCACGTCAGAGTGATGGGCCCATGGACCAAATCTGACCCCATTACCCTCCTGCTTAAAAGTCCTGCACGAGCTCCCTAGGCCCCTAGGGCTTCGTGCAGATCCTTCAAGGCTTTGCAGTTCAGCACACAGTCCTCAATTCCCTCCACAAGCTACACACACACAGAGACACACAGACACACACACACACACACACACACACACGTCCTGCCTTGCACTCTGGTTTCTCACTCACTCCCTCCTCAGTTTTTCGAGTCCCTCATCCCTCAAGGCCAAATCAGACCATACCTGCCTATGAGGTTGTCCCAAGACTCCCCTCATCACCCCCTTCACTGCCCTGCCCACTCGGCCACCAGTCAGAAATCGCCAGTTACTCAATGTGCAGCTCCCTAGACGGGGACTAAGCTGACAAATGTGCACCCTGCCATAGGCAGAGAAGAGCTTGGCAGTCAGCGGCTCAGTGCATGTTTGTGAGATGAGTGGATATAGGGGGTGGAGTGGGGGAGTCATTAGAAAGGAGAAGTAAATCATTCACTCATCCATTCACCAGCAAACGACCACTGGGTGCCTATCTGGGCCCCATACTAAGCCTTGGGTTAGTCAAAAAAGGTTTTGTTCAGTTGAAATGAGTTGTTCAAGAGGGAGGGAACATATGCACACATATGGCTAATTCATGTTGATTATGGCAGAAATCAACACAACATTGTAAAGGAATTAGCCTCCAATTAAAAATAAATTTTTAAAAAAACTGAAATGAGTTAAATTCGACCTGATCTTTCTGACTTTACTCCTATTCCTTTCCTTCCTGCCCTGTCCCAGGGACACACACACACACATACACACACATACACACCCTCAGGCTATCACCCCACCCATTCTGGTCACATTTCTTCCACCAACAAACACACTCCACCCCAATTTGTAGCTCCTTTCCCGCTCCCAGGAGCCTTCAGGGATCTGTGATTTTCCCGCCCAGGCCCCCCAATGCCTTCCCATTTGCTCCCCACCTGTAGGAACTGTGCCCAGTCCGCAGAGGAGCTTCCGGTTACAGCCAGCAGGACCGGGCCAGGTGGGCGGGCCCGAGCTGCCGCGCGACTCACCTGGGGACGCAGCGGGCAGGCGGGGCCGGAGGCGCGGGTGAGAGTGGATGGCAGCGCCGCCAACAGGGAGGACTAATCCTACATCTTCCCAAGCTTTCGCGGAGCACCTTCAGGCACAGGTCTCACCCCCACCCCCAGAGCTGGGAGGGTGGGGGGTTGGTGCAGCTGGGATCCAGAGACGGGGCAGTCTTCAGCAGGCGGCTGCCCTAGCTGGCGGCTCTGAAAAACAAGTGAATTTCCGGTGACAGGTACAAAGTCCAGAGTTGAAGAGGGTGCTCCGCAGGGCTGTGAAGGCGGTGAGCCAGAGCCAAAGGGGAGAGGGGTGGGCATTCTCCAGGCAAAGCCAAACGGACCAAGCACACTCAAAACTGCCTGCAAAAGTGGGTGTAAGCGTTTGTGCGTGCGTGAGTGCGTGCGTGTGTGTGCGTGGAGGCGGATGTGGAAGTTGATTCAGAGTGTGAGTTTAGAGCCTTTTCGGACTGTGCTGTGCCCTTGGGGGTTATCCCGTGTTTGTGTGTTTACCTGGACAGAGGGTACAAGCCTCTATCTGGATCTCAAGGGTTCTGTGACCCCACAAAGCTAGGCTCCCCAGGCTTCGAGTGCCTCCTAGTCCCTTCACACCCTCAGGGAGTCACCTTCCCTGAGGCCCCGCCCCGTCTACTCTAGCAAGCCCCGCCTCCACCTTGACAGGCCCCGTCTCCACCCGGAAAGCCCCGCCTTCTCTATGCCCAGAGCTCCGCCTATCCATCATTATTTTGTAATCATTTATTTCTTCCTCTGCTCCCTCTCCAACTAGACTAGTTGGGGAGCTCTCCCAGGGTGGAAACAAGTTCGACAGTCTCTAGGTTCCCAGCACCTGACACAGGGCAGGCTCTCAGTAAATACCTAAGGGAGGAAAGGTTCCATGAGCTAAGTCATGCGGGCGTAGCAGTTCACAGGGGCCCACAGGGCAGAGGGAGCAAGGGCTGCGTCTGGGCTTTGTGAACGGGGCACGATTAGAAATGCGGCTGGAAAGCGGATGGCCAGTGCATGCAGGACCTTGAAGATCTTGGCACGGAGTCTGAACTCCTACTGCCAGCGGCCCATTCCTCACTCTCCCACCCACACCTCCTGTTCTCTGCTGCAGTCATGCCAAACTATTTTCCATTCCTAGAACTCACCATGTGCTCATCTCCTGGGCTTTGCATGTGCTATTCCTGGGACCCCTGCTTTCCTCCAACCTTCATCCTCTCCCCCAACATATCCACCTCCCACCTGGCAGTCTGTTCCTCCCAGGCCTCCCATCATGTAGGTCCCAGGTGAGGTCCTCTTGATCTAGACGCACCTTAGCCTAGGTCCCTCCTCCCCATTCTTTGCCCCTAGAAGACCTTGGCCCTTCTCCCTCATGGCCCTGAGCACACAGTATTGTGATTTTCTCACTTGGCAGAGTCCCCTATGAGCCTATAAACTCTGAGGATAGGGTCTGTGTCTGTCTTGTTCCCCTTCGAATCCCTAGCATCTAAAATGACAACAATAAGTACCCCTGAAATAAACAAATGAAAGGAAAGTGAATTTTATCCTGGATGAGGCAGTGAAGATCCAAAGAAGGTTTAGAAGTTTGGGTTGATTTTGAAGCAGGGAAATCTCATAGGATTCAAAAGATATTCATTGAACACCTACCGTATGCTGGACACTGTGCCAGCATATGGCACATATGGTTTAGATGTTGTTGTTTTCATTGAGGTATTCACATAGCATAACTTAGTTCACATAGCAAAAAAAAAAAAAAATCACTCTATTCATCCATTTCAGCACACAATTCAGTGGCTTTTAGTACATTCAGAATGTTGGGCAACCATCACACAGTGTAATTCTAAAACCTTTTCATCACACCAAGAGGATTCCCCGTGCTTGTTAAATAATCACACTTTGTTTCCCAATCCCTAGCTTCCAGCAACCTCTAATCTTCTCTGTCTCTATGGGTTTGCCCATTCTGGATATGTCCTACAAGTGTAATCATATTTGTGCCAGCTTTTTAATGAACTGCTTTATTTAATCCTCCTAGCTGTACTATGAAATTGATGTTAATTACCCTCTTAACAGATGAATAAAATGAGGCCATAAGAAGGTAATTTCCATGAAGTCCCACAGAAGAAAACAAGTAAAAGTCTACCCATCCATCAGTCAGCCATTTATTCAATGAATACTTCCTAAATGCCCACCACAGAGCCACAGCCAGCCCATAGGCAAGCATTGTAAAATAGCAGAAGGCAACCTGCTAAATGCTCCCACAGCATGAAGAACAGAGAGCCAGCTGGATATTAGAACCTACCAGCCTGTCAGCCAGAAGCTTTGGTGCAGGGAACCACCTTTACAACCTTTTGTGGCAGCCCTGGCAGCCGTGTGGTCGGCTCTGTGCTAGCTACTGGGGAGAGTTCCTGCTGCCATACAGCTTTCATTCTGGTGGTGAAGATAGACAATACACAAGTAAAGACATGAATATGATCATTTCAGATAATGGTTAGTGCTATAAGGAAAGTAAAATAGCTTCGAGTGATGGAGTTGTGGAAGGGGCTCTTATTTTATATTAGATGGTCTGGAAAGGGAGGCTGACTGAAGGGGAGGCATTTGAACTGAGATCTGTATAAGAGTGAGACAGCAGTCATGCCTATATCTGGGGGAAGAACATTCCAGAAAAAGGGATCAGCCAGGACAAAGCAAAAGCAGGACTGGCTTGTTCAAGAAGCAAGTAGAAGGTGGGCTAATGGAGTCCATTAAGTCAGGGGAGATGGAAGAAGCTGAGATGCTGTGCCAGGTCCTTCCCTCTGTGAGATGGGGAGCTGTTGATGATCAGAGTTGGGGACCTAGGGACTGACCTTCTTTGGCTTCTATGTGAAGAATGGATGAGAGGAGGCCAAGGCAGAGGTAGGGAGGCCAGTTCGAGAGCCGTGGCTATCACCCAGGAGAAGGGAATGTGGCATTAGGGTAGTTAGGTAGAAATGGAGAAAAGTACTAGATTCCGGATATATTTTGAAGGTGAAGCCAACACAATTTGCTGATTGGATATGGGAGCTGAAAAAAAGAAAGGGAGCAAGGATAGCTCCAAACCGTTGACGTGAGCAACTAGGATGTAGTTATGGGGAGACTCTGGAGGGAACAGATTTGGGAGGGCAATCTGGACCTCAGTTTTGGACATGTGACTTGTGAGATGCCCATGATTCATCCAAGTAACATGCTAAGTAGGCAGTAGATAAACTAGCCTAAAGGCAGCAGAAGGTAGGGGCTAGAAATATAAATTGGGGAACCAGTAAAAAAACAGACTTTTTTTTAAAGCTGGTCATCTAGATGAGACCCCATAGAGAAGTGCAGAGAGAAAAGAGGGCTGAAGGCTGAGCCCTGGAGCCCTCAGGGGGCAGAGGTGAAGGAGCAGAGGAGAAGCAGGCAAAGGGACTGGGGAGTAGCCAGCATGATGGGAGAGAGGTGTCCTGGAGGTCAGAGAAGAAAGTATTTCAAAGGCAAGAGCTTGAATAGCTATGTCAAATTCTGAGGATAGGTCCACTAAGATGAATGTGAACTGAAAATTGACGTTGAACTTGGCCGTGTGGAGGCACTGGTGACCTTGACAAGCACAGTTTCACTGCTAAGTCACGGACAAATGCCAACTGGATCCACGCCTGGACATGGGAGCAGAGGAGATAGGGACAACTCCTTCAAGTAATTTTCTATAAAAGGAGCGGAGAAATGGGACAGACATGGGAGCAGGTGTAGAAGGATTTTTTCAAGACTTTTTTCAGGGCTAGGAGCTTTTAGACCATGTGTGTATGCTGGTCAGAATAATCCAGGAGAGGAAGGAAAGTGATGATGCAGAAGGAAGAGAAAAGAGACAGTGAGGGGGTGGGACTCCTTCTAGAATCAAGGGGTGTGGGAGTTGAGTAGCAGGTGAAGGGCTGGCCTTGGGCAGAAGCAGAGGAAGGCGGAATGTCAGGTGAGTGATGGGAGTCAGGGGGTTTTCTTCCCATGGCTTCTGCTTTTCCAGAGAAATAAGAAGCAGTATCCTCAGCTGAGAGTGGGGAAGGGGTGCTGAGGTTTGAGGAGAGAAGACGTGAGTTTATCATCCTGGGGCTTTGGAGAGAGAACTGCATGTGGCAGGCTTGCCAGGCAGCATCAGGACCCCCTTGAGGTGAGCAGCATGAATTTATAGTGAGATCAGTAAGGATGGCTGAGTGTTTTGTTTTCTAGCCCCTCTAAGGGCAGGTGGAAAGAAGATGGAGCCTGCAACTTAATCAGGGTTGGGAGACACACCAGGCAAGTCTGATAAAGGGGGCTGAGTTGTAGACAAGGCCTGAGGTGGGGCCAGGTAAAGAGGGAAGCGTGAACAGAGTTGAGGAGGTGGGAGGGACTCTGAAAAAGTGGCAGAAATGATAGATTTTAGCTAGAGCATATAGAAGTGGAGGTTACCCAGGGGATGCCATTCTTGATACAGACAAGTCCTAGGACATGAACCATGGAGAGGTCCTATAGTAGGATCTACAGACTGGTGGTGGTTTTACTATTGCCTGCTGCATATTAACTCCTGAATCAGAGGTCAAATGATTATGTGCTACAGTTCAATGAGTAAATGGCAGAGGCAGGATTGAACATAGGTCTTTTGCCTCTAGGTCCAACACATTTCCAGATACATCCCAACTGCTCCTGTGAGTAACACTTACCATCGAGGTGTTCAATTCCTCATAGTCACTGGGAGTGACAGTTAGTGATCACTGCTTTTCAAGGATTTACTTATATTTTCCACAGGAGACTCAAAGTGCTGCTATTAGAAGAACCAGGAACAGATGCTGAGCAGGCAAAAGAACCTGGTGTCCTGGTCCCCAGCCCACAGCTACCTCCTCCTCCATCTCAACCAGCTCCTCTCTGTGACAGACACAGGGCTCTTAGCCTGAGGATAGTTGCATCCCCTTTAAGAAACTGATGAAAGCCCAGACCGCTGTCAGCCTGCACACCAACCAGCTCCATTATGGCAACCTGCAGCTCCAGCATCGTGATTAGTGATGATGAACCAGGTTATGACCTGGATTTATTTTGTATACCTAATCACTATGCAGAGGATTTGGAAAAGGTGTTTATCCCTCATGGACTAATTATGGATAGAACTGAACGGCTTGCTCGAGATGTGATGCAGGCGATGGGAGGCCATCACATCGTAGCCCTCTGTGTGCTGAAGGGGGGCTATAAGTTCTTTGCAGACCTACTGGATTACATCAAAGTTCTGAACAGAAATAGTGACAGGTCCATTCCTATGACTGTGGATTTTATCAGACTGAAGAGCTACTGTAATGATCAGTCAACAGGTGACATAAAAGTGATTGGTGGAGATGATCTCTCAACTTTGACTGGAAAGAATGTCTTGATTGTTGAAGATATCATTGACACTGGCAAAACAATGCAAGCCTTGCTTTCCCTGGTCAAGCGGTATAATCCAAAGATGGTCAAGGTTGCCAGCTTGCTTGTGAAAAGGACCCCTCGAAGTGTTGGCTATAGACCGGACTTTGTTGGATTTGAAATTCCAGACAAGTTTGTTGTGGGATATGCCCTTGACTACAATGAACACTTCAGGGATTTGAATCATGTTTGTGTCATTAGTGAAACTGGAAAAGCAAAATACAAAGCCTAAGGTGAGAGTTCAAGTTGAATTTGGAAACAGCTAGTGTCCCATTGATATCACCAGTAAAATTATCAAATGTTCTAGCTCTGTGACCAGCTGCTTAGTAGAGTTTATTATTGCATGTATCTTCTAAGAATTTTATCTATTTTGTATTTTAGAAATATTAGTTACTGCATTCCTGAACTCTTTATTTGCACTATGAGCCTGTAAACTATCATTTCCCTTTGGGTAAATTGTTGTTTGACTCATGAATAAAAAATCTCTTAAACTGTACCACTATTGAATGAAAATATTGAAGTTGTATCTGTAAGAAACATTTAAAGAAAAGAATTTATTAGTTTTTGAATTGGTATTTTAACTTTTACATATTCAGGGAAGAACAGAAGTGATAGAACATTGTCCACTGTACCACTGTGTGTTTAGAAAAGTAGAGGTATCATTATGTCAGATAAACCATACATCCTGGAATTATTTTAGTAGGTTTCAGTAGTATTAACTGTATTTTCCCACTTGTTCATATTATTTCCAGTGAATCCTTGTCAACAGTTCCTTTTATTTTTTTCCCAAACTTTAAACTTTTTATTTTGCATTGGGGTATAGCTGATTAACAACCAATAGTTCCTTTTAAATACAAATCAGTAAGTTCCAAAAGCCTACCACTTTTTGAATTTTTCAATATAAAAATCCTTAAACTAAAAACTGTCTCTTTAAAAAATAAAAAGAAGATGAGGATGATGAAAGCAAGAAAATGCACGTGCACACCCAGTCACAAATATGCTCACAGGCCTGACAGGTAGGAAGTGCTCAATAAAAACTTGTCAAATGACTGAATGGTCAGAATTTGGGGAGCTCACTTGCTGTCTCGGGGTGAAGGGCTGGTGCTAACACAGAGTGTGCAGGAACCTCTGTTCTATTATAAACAGGTACCGCCTTTGACTAGGCAGAGGACCTCTTCTTCTTTGTAAGCCTCTGGAGGGTGACTGCCCATTTTCTGCTTCCAGAGGGGGTGGCAGCCCCACCCTGCACTCTTCCTCCTTCATTCAACCCTCATCTTCCCTGGAGGCTGACCCCTCCCCATTCCTGCCCAGCCAGGGCTGACTTTCTGGACATGCCCCAGCATTCAGAGCATCCCTGATGTGGTCCCAGCAGGGACTGGGCTTCAAGCTTGGCAAAAACGAGCTCTCTGATCTGGTCATCAGTGAAATGAGGTCAAAAGATGTGTCCCCAGTGGTGCATCACAGCAACACTCGGAGATCACAGCTTCTTGGCTTTCCCCACTTCCTCAAGGTGGACCAGCCTGTCTGGGGCCACGGTGTTCCGCAAAGCCCTGATCAAGAGCTTACTAAACCTCCTCTATCCCAACCATACCACCATGAAACTCCAGTGTAATTACCACAGATGGTTGCACAGCCAACATCCAAGTTCACAGGACAGCTTCTTCCCAAACCACCAGCTCCATCTTGCCGGGCTGGATTTATAATTAGACATCGCAGGTGTCCAGAACAATGAAGCAGCAGTCTGGGGTCCCCTGTGATCATCTATCTCTCGAGCAACTGGATTGGGAGAAATAGAACTCAGCAGACCTGCCAGAGGATGACTATTCCCTCTCCCGAGGGATGTCACACCCAGGCAAGTGGCCAGAGATGACAGGACAGCTGGACGGAGCGGCCCCACAGGCTGCACCTCCGTGGGCTCCTCGCAATCGGAATAGTCATCTCTTCCACATTCTTGCTTTCTCCTGGGGGCTGGAAAAGAGGAGAGTTGGTCCCTTCTGAGCCCCCGGGAGTATTGGGGCATTCCCAAGTGGAAATCCTCTGGTGGTCAACACCACTCATGCCTGGGGAAAGGCAACTCTTCCCACGATGGCATGAAGCCCACTCCTGCCTGCTGTTGCACTCACAACCACCCCCAGAACAAGTGTCCCTTCCTCAGGGTGGGGGCAAGGATGGAGCACCAACATGCCTTCAGGGGAAAAGGGTTTAAAAAAGCAGGGGATGTCCCTGTGACGTGGTGAATGAATGGGCTGTGTCATCACTACTCCTTATTCTCAAATAACATTCGAAGTGAGATTGAACAGCCCGGAAGCCATCCCCATGCTTCAGCCAGGCTGTGGATCCTGCAGGAAAGTGTGACTGTGGCCGGTGGTGGCAGCTTTCTCCCATGAAATGTGCTTTGTATTCTAAGTAGCCTTGCTGCTGTTTGAGGCCAAGGACAATGAGTCATTTGTGTCCCGAGCCAATGGTTCTAGGATTTCAGAGTGACCTGAGATGAAGTAAGGACCTGGTGTACCTTAAAGGCAAAATGCCCTGAAAATTCGTGCCTGCCCAGCTCTACCGGTCACACTTGCCTTTTAAAGGGCCCCTACTCAATCGTGACAGAGCACAGAGAAGACAAATTATTTTTCTGAAGTAAAACCTCTAATGCTTTCTGAGTAAATGTGTGCGTGAGTGCCAAGTCATTTCAACTGTGTCCGACTCTTTGCGACCCTATGGACTGTAGCCTGCCAGGCTCCTCTGTCCATGGGATTCTCCAGGCAAGAATACTGGAGTGGGTTGCCATGCCTTCCTCCAGAGGATCTTCCTGACCCAGGATCGAACCTGAATCTCCTGTGTCTCCTCCGGTGCAGTCAGGTTCTTTACCACTAGCGCCACCTGGGAGGCCCGTCTGAGTACATAAGGGTTGACTTTTTAAAATCATTTGTAAGACTTTGGGGATGATGCATGCAGATGGTAACCACCTCCCTGTAAATGCTGGCAGAGACTTACTTTTACCCTGCTTGCCATCTGGATGGGACCATTTAACAGACCTGATCCAGAGTTAAGCTCTCTGGTTCTAGATCAAATTGTTTGGGGTCAAAGCTGAGCTCCAACACATGACACCCTTAGGAAGCCTCAGTTTCTTCACCTATTAAATGGGGATAATTATAATTAAACCTGATTCAACAGGTAAGGAGCAAATGGGGAGGTGTCAGTGTATTTTCCTGGCACTTGTAAATATTCAATAACCATCTGTCACTCTGATGGAGGTTTGTTGCTGTTCTACATAAGACCTCTGCTTGCAGTACTAGATAAATTTTGTTCTAACCAAGGTCAGATATGCTTTAAGAAGGTCCTGAGCTTTGAACTATCTGAACCCTGTATGGGTGTTGATTCCAGCTTCTATTCTCCCAGGGTTCCTCAGGGCCAAATGGCCTTTGTCAAGCAGTTTGTGTAAAAGGGACTTCATTCAAGCCTTATTGGATTAACTGGGGCTTCCTTTAAATAAGGGCTTGTTTTCAGAAGGTTTCTTTTTTCCAACAGGGAAAAGAACACAATGGATTCCAAGTAATCTACAGTCCTCATCACAGCTTGTCACAAACACCTGGCACATCTTTTCAGCCCAGAGTGCAAACACACACACTCCCTCACTTGCTGACTTCAGGAACCTAGCCCCAGCCTGTCCCAAAAGCATTTGCTGACAAACTTCCGCTCACTATAAAGTTATTTCCTGGAAGAATAGCAAAACCTGGTTTTGAATTAACAGTATGGCTTTAGTTGCTGCAGAAGCTAAGTGAAATTACCATTGTTATCAATTATTTACCTAAAAAAAAAAACTTACAAGAATTTCTTTCTTTCTTTTCTTTACTGATCAATATGAAGAATGATTTACTGGGAAGTCATTTTCAAGCAAAGACAGGACTTAGGAATTGGGTTAATGTGTTACTTATTCCAAAAAAAGGAAATTTCATAATGTTGGTTGGGCACCAGTTTACTTGCTGGTGGAAAATTGCAATTTCCAAAAGCAATTGTGATGAATAGTAGAGAGAGTTAAAACATTTATGGAATAGATAGACACCAGCATTTTTGCACACAACAAAGAAATATCTTAAATATTTTTCAAAATATTCTGGAAGCCAAGACACAAGGGCATGCTTTAAGAGAACATAGGAATGTGGTGGGGTGAGGGGGGGGGTGCATATTGGTACTACCCGTTTCCTTTCAAATCAGTGAGGAAGACATCAGCATTCAGCCTCACATACTGACTTGACACAGTTTATATATAATAGTTTGACTTTAATCCAAGAAGCAAAGATGGGGCACTCTGTTTATTTTGAAAAATAATTGCATGGACACTCAGGTTATCCTCCCTTGTCTGACGGCTTTTCTTGGGAGAAGTCTGTCTCTGTTACTTAGAAAAGTACCAATTTAGCACCCTTATTTAGATGACCTTGGTATCAATTTTGACTAGGGTTTCCCTGGTAGCTTAGACGATAAAGAATCAATTTTGAGAGGCAAACTGAAGAGATTCATTTTCTTCCCTCTCTGTTGATCCATCCCTAAATTTCTCAAACAATTGCATGTGTGTGTGTGTGTGTGTGTGTGTGTGTACATAATTTACAGAACAATTTCACCCAGATGGGTCTCAACTCTGCCACCATTAAATCAAATCCATGGGCATTTTCAAAAGAGCCTTTCAAGTGTTTCCACAAATATTTACCTGCAAGCTAAGATCACGGAATACCACGGAAGGGGTATAACTCAGTTCACTGTCTGAGCCACTTGTCAAGGAAGACTGATGCAGCTTGGAGAGTCTAGCTTTTCTGTTCCTCTTAAATATGAGCATCACTTGGATAAAGGTGAACCCAGGCCCAGTAGGACCACCACAGACAATGGGACTTTACTTTCGTAAAACAAAAGAATAATCAAGAAAACAGTGTTTGGGCTGATTTGCAGCTGAGTACTCCCTCCAAAGCAGTACTTAATACCACAACCAGACATTCATGCTCCTGAGTTTTCTCACAGGTGTGTGTATGCTCAGTCGTGTCTGACTCTTGGTGACCCCATGGACTGTAGCCCACCTGGCTCCTCTGTCCATGGAATTCTCCAGGCAAGTGTACTGGGGATGGGTTGCCATTTCTTACTCCAAGGGATCTTCCTGACTCAGGGATTGAACCCAAGTCTCTTGCATCTCCTGCATTGGCAGGTGAATTCTTTACCACTGAGCAACCTGGGAAGCCCTTTCTCAGGGGCAGTAAAGTGTTTTTGCCTTTTTTTCTTCTTGACTGTGCTGGGGCTTTGTTGCAGGGCAGGGGCGGGTGGAGGTGGGGGTCGGTGTTTCTCTTGTTTCACTGTTGCTCAGGCTCAGTACTGCTACACATGGCCTTACCTCCCAGTGGTACGTGGGATCTTAGTTCCCCGACCAGGGAACAAACCTGCGTCCCCTGCATTGGAAGGCAAATTCTTAACCACTGGGAAGTCCCTTGCCTTGAAAAAAGATTATGTATTTATTTTT